ATAACATCTAAGTCTTTTTGCATTCAACTGACCTTAGAACCTCTGCTCTCGGAGCAGACTGCCCTTTCTGGTGTGGGTGGATACTAGTGCCAATAACCAGATTTTTTTTATTATTATTTTTTAAACGCATGCTGCTAGGTGCATTTTTAATTAACTGTGTTTCAAATGCAGCTTCATTCCACTTTTTTTTTTTTTTTACTTTTTTTTTTCATTTTTGGAAAATAGCATATTAATGGAAGGTCATGTTCTTTGCCCTCTGAGTAGTAGACTTTTTGGTTTATGTGCAAGCTGAATTGGTTAAACTTTGAAAATAGGTCAGTGGCTAGGCTAGTAGAGTTTGTTTAAAGACCAAGAAGCACTTTATCACGACTCATTAGACATTGTGGTTATGAGGTCTCACTGTTAAAACAAACTTGAGAGTTTCAAGGAGTCATATGCTACTCCACAGTTTTAAATGTTGCATATTTATAACATTAAAGAAACTTTGATTAAAACAACAGTAATATAAGTTGCTAGAGGCCAAAAAACTTGGTCATTTTCTATATGATTCAGTTTTGTTCGTTTTAAGGGGCCAAATGCAAATAGTTTCTCTTGTAAACAACTATTGTATTGTTATTTTTTGGTGTGTTATAATAATCAACTGGCATTTAGCATGTTGTTTATGCAAATCTTTTCATGATCAAATGAGAAGTTTTAATTTAAATAAAGAAAACTATATAAATAGCAAGCAATTTGAATATAGTCCATGATCTAAAACAAGCTGTCCCTTACTTGTTTTATCATGAAAGCTCTTTAGCACTTGTATGCATTTACACAGTGTGTTGGTCCTGCTTTGCACACAGCGTGTAGCTTCCAGCACTGTTGGGTTTTTGTTTTCTCTTTGTTATGTTGTATCAGATAATAACCATTTGTTTGACTAATTTAAAGAAACAAAAGAGAGTCAAGAATTATACTTACAATTAGAGGTGCAGGTGCAAAAAATAATCTCCTCTGTGATATACTTTTGAGGAATGAAAGTTAAGGAATCCAACATCTAAATATGTAGCCAATGCAAGATACGCATCTTATTCCAGTGGGGTGCATGCAGAGCAGTAGAGACAGTCTCTCTGGGAATGACTGCATGCCACTCTGCCTGTTCAGGTGAGCAGCACTGGGACAGGCTCCTATAACATGACAATAAAGGGTATGCTAGTGACTCCTTAATTTTACCTGTACAAGCTGAGCCATTTGCAGTTATCTATTTGAAAGCAGCCATTCACTGTTTGTGAAATACACACAAAATACCTGTGGCTTCTAATTAGTCTTCAGTGCAGGTTGTTTATTAGAAAAGCCCTTTTGCCTTCGTTGAAATGACAGTTTAGATTTCAATAGAGAACAAAGCTTGCAACCTACTTCTGTCAATAATGTTCGCTTCCTTCAAATCAACTTTTCTAATTAGTGACATCAATTGCTAATTCATTTTCCATCTGGATGCTTGTATAGCTGCATAGGACACTCAAGAAATCACCCTTTTTTAGAGAGGTTTTTGTGGAGATGGTAGTGACACAAATGTACAGTCTTAAAACTGTGTCCACTCTGGGTCTCTTTCCCCCCCTGGTGTGGGGCGGCCCAGTTCTAGTTCCATTTCCATCTGTGGAACCATTCCAACGTCTTGAAGGATAGGGAAAGGGAACTCCAGCATCAGAGGTTTCTTCAGGTCCTGAGCCTGGAGGGGAGAGGTGCCCTCCCCTCCTTCCACCACCCACGTGATTCCATGGCCGGCACAGAGACAGCACACTGGTGTGGAGAGGAGGCAAGAGAGAGTTTATTGTTGGGGGGGTTACATTTATAGGCTTAGGAGGATTCACAGAGTAACTAATTACAGGTTGCAGGAAGGGCTTAACAACCAATAGGAAGGGGTTAAAAGGGGCCAATGAGAACACCTTAGGACATCTTCTCAGGACATTCCTGCATGGGATAACACTTGTCGTGGGGGGTCTAGGGAAGAAGAAAGCATGAGTTAGCAAAGAGACTACAAAAAGCCATTTTGAAACATGTTTAAACCACAGTTTTCTCATATACTGCTGATTTCCTGCCACAGTCCACTTTTTTGAGATGTGAATCCAGGATAAAGTTTTTATTTCATCCACAGATACCATCTAAATCTCTTTGTATTCTACTGACCTTAGAACCTCTGCCCTTGGAGCAGGCTGCCCTTCATGGTGGAGGTGGTACTAGTGCCGCTCCCTGTACCTGTGCTGGAGCACTGCTGACCTTACGAGGGCTGGCTGCAGGGACATGTGGTCCCAATGTAATGCTGATGCACAGAGACTGCTGTTTTTTATGTAGTTATATGTGGGGCTTTAATTTCAACTAGATGTTTTGTGTCCAGCAGAGAAGTCACAAACTCTTACTGTCCACATGTGCCACTTAAGTGCTGGGAACAGATCAAGACATTGGCTCCAATGAGCAGATTTTTAGTTGTTTGTATTTCAGATGTTTTGTCATTTCTGTTAATATTTAGTAGCTTCCTTCAAAAGCCTCTCTGTGGTGAACAGTACCTTATTTGGGTTTGTGCGTCCTCAAAAGATATAATGATGTTAGTCCTTGGAAGGTTTATTTTTTATTTCGTGTTCTTAAATAATTGAAAACATCAAAGTCTTTTTATGGCTTTTCATTTTGTTGGCAGTCAAAATACCACAGGAAGGCCAAAACTTGTATTGTTTTGGCTCTGCAGACATCTTCTTGAAAGATTTGAGCAGAATGTTTAAACACCATTTCCAGCTTTTTACATTGGTCACTAAAGCATTCTCAAATGCAGGTCAGAAATCTAGTCCTGTAAGACAAAGCCCACAATTTTATAATGGAATGATGGTCAGGGGCTTCTGTTGAAATGTTTTAATAACTTTGCAATTCACAGCAGTAAATCAGTTCTCTTGCATTTGAGTCACAGTGATTGATCATGTGTATGTAACTGGTCCACTGACATAGAAAAGAATGCATTCACTTTAGGCAGCATCTACCTCCTAGTTAAGACAGTGTAGTTATTTAAACAAAAGTGTAGTTCTTCAGAAATTGTAATGTGACTGCAGCAGTTTCCTTACCAGGCCCTGTTCATTGTGCATATTGATGGCTTTCTACATTCTACAGCTTCTCACACTACAAAGAAGAATATGCAAAATTTGTGAAAATTTTGGGAAATATAGTTTTAGAGGAAAGGGGAGCATGTGCTCATACAAAAGACTCCTTGAGTTCTCTCATTAATTTTAAAATTTTTAAAGGAAAAAACTACGAGAGTGGAAAATTGTTTCACAATTTTCTTAAGCATAAAAAAGCACCAAAGTTTAAAGGGTTTTTTCCTAGTTTTATTGTTGTTGTTTGGATTTTTTGTTTTGTTTTCAGTTGAGGTTTTATTTAGTCCTTTAATCACCTGGAAGTCCTTCAGTGAGGTCTAAACATATGCAAGGAGTAATTTAGGGGAAAATCTAATTATCTGATTACCCACCTTACTGTTTTGGCAGGGCCAGGCTAGTGCCCTGTCATAGGTGCAGAGCTGGAAATGATGAATGGTGTAACAAATAGATCACTTTATCTAAATAAGTTTTGGAAAGAGCTTATGATAAAGGTCCTGGTTCTTGCAGACTTTGAGAAAAAAAAAAAAAGGGTATGTCCCATAAAAGACCCCAGGTAACTGTATGGATTCTCTTCTACATTTTTCCTATTTTATTTGAATTTACTATTGTCTTCAGGAAGCATTAAATTTTAAAAGTTTGTACTGCATAATACATAGACACAGCAAAGCTGTAAACTTGAAATACTGGTTTAAAATACTAACATATTCATATAAATACTGTCTTCACCAGTAAAATATTTTTTCAAAACAGGTGCATTTTGGCGTGTGTTTCAGTAGTAACAGGGGCAGGTTAGGAAGTTTATTTTCTCTCTGTGGCTACCCCTGAGCTGCTTCAACTGTGGTGGAAGTTTCCCATCCCTTTTTGCTTTGAGGAAGCAAAGAAAATCAACCAGACACTAACAACAAAGTATAACCAACATACAAAAACCCCCAAACAAACTCAAACCACCAGAGACAACAACCCTATATTTGTCAAATTTTCAGTTTGAGCCACTGTTTCAGTTTCAGTTGTAGCAATTCCTGGGAATTTGAAGGAACCATGAAAGAATGGTTCCGTTAAAAAATTCTTTCAAGAAGGCCTACTAAGGATTAATTGGGAGAAAACAAGATTGTTTTCAAAAAAACAAATAAGTTTTTCAGTGACATATAGCCACTTGGCCTGGAACCCAGCTCTCTTGCTGTTCTGCCCATCAGCAGTGTTTAAAAATGCAGCATTTAAAAACGCAGCTTGGGGATCAGATCCTCAGACAAGCTTTGTAGCACTCCGGCCTTCTTGTTTAGTGAAATAGAAACAAGGAATTAATAGGAATAGTTGCTGTTGATGGGGTGGTGGATGTTTCCTGTTCTGCACATGCTCTTAACCCAAGAGCACGTACCTCATGTTAGAAGTGTTGGCTTTGTCAGCTGCCTGCCGATGTGTGTGCCAGGCTGCTGGCCAGACAGACTGCTTGCTCACGTGTGGTGCTCTTCCCCATCATTAACCTCCGTTGTTAATTTTGGCATGTGAATTTTGTGTGTGAAGTCCTGCATCAGTGAAACAAGAAGGAAAATAAAATAGCATCTGAACAATGTTGTTTTGAGTAAAATGCTGATGCATAAAGCTGACATCATTAAACAACACTGAATAAAAGATCTGAATCCTGAAGTCAACTGAAAATCAAAAAATCTGCAAAATAGCTGCAAATGAAGTATCTGAGCAAAAACCATTGCAGTGGTTGCAAGAGAAGCTCTTGCTGGATGGCGATGGTGTGCAACAGGCTCTTTTGTAACTGTTTTAAAAGTGTGCTTTAGAGAGCAGCAAAGCTGTATTTTAAATAAGGAACACTCAATTTTCACTACTTCAGTGCTTCAATGTCTGATTATCTTCTGTGTTTTCTTTTTTTTTAAGATCTTTATGGTTATGGCAAAATCTTTCTTCAGCTTATGTTATAATGGACTACCAGTTGGATGATTTACAGTCGACTGAAACATGATATATGCTTCTCCTCTTCCGTGTCCATGGTGAGTTTTGTTTATGTACATACCTATTAAGTACTTCAGAGAAGGAAGTAAATGTTTTTTAGTGACCACATTAAATGTTGTTTCCATTGTTTTCATGTGGATTATCCTAGAGTTGTCAATTTACTGAATACATAAACTGCACTCTTTTTTGTAAGCTGTTTGAGAATGTTTTAAAAACTTAAGTTCAAAAAATAATACAGAATTTTTCTCTCTTTTGGAAGATTTTTGAGCTGTGCAAAGATACCGATACACAGTTTGAAATGTTATCCTTCCCTTCAGCTTCAAAGCATCTTCACCTTCATGTGGTGTGTCTTAGTTCAAATTAGATTTCAAGCAATTGTTCTTTTTTAGTAAGGCACATACTGCAATGTATTTAAGAACAAAACAACTGTAACCATGTTGCAAATATAATACAAAGCACAGAGAAAAAATAATTGGAGAAAATATTTGGAAAGAGCTTTCAGTTTTATTTTTGCACTGCATCTCTGTTTTGTGCCTACAATTAATCTGATTTTAGTATCTGTGAACAATGTTAAATATCGTATAAACAATAATTTTAAAAGCAAGGCTGCTCATACTATAACTGAACTATCACTTCTGATTTACAGTGTCCAGACACACAATAATGAAATCCAAAGCACTAGTTGTTCATTTGGCTAAACACATTGACAGACCAAATTTGGATCTTAAAATGTTCCACTGGCTACTCTTTACTACACCAGAAATAACAGCCCTCTCCAAAGAGGACAGAGTCTCCTCTCCAAATATCAGGTTAAGTATTTGAGGTTAAAATCCCCATGGTTTCACTCTTCTCCTTTATAAGTGTTTAGATTTGGCTCTTACACTGAAGTTTGTGAATGATACTGAATTTTATGGAATAGTTGCATTAGTCAAAGCCAGTTTTATTATATGCTTAAGTACTTCAATGAACAAAGATCGAAGCAATGAAGTTTCTAGAGGTGTGTTTGCACCTAGATAATAGAAAGGTGTGTTTAAATATTCCATATAAATGGATAGAGGTGTTTACCAGCAAAACTGGTTACTGTTATTTTTGGTGAAAATGGGTATTTACAGATTGAAATGGACAGTCATATAACTCTCCTGTGGAGGGCATCTTCTATCTGCTTCTCTTTTACCAATTTCAGCTGGCTTTGCATTCCAAAGTATATGTCTCCCAGGTACTAACCACACAACTCTGAAACTAGGGAGCCAGATAAATAGCAAAGAAAGCGTTATCTCACTTGTTTCCACCTGCAAATTATTGAGGAAAAAAAAAAAGTGATGTTGTTTGATGCGTTATCTAGCACCTGTTGATTCTGCAAGGCATTTCCCTGGGTATTCTTTGAGTTCTGCATTGTTCCCTAACCAGGCTTTTTTTTTTTTTGCCAAATTAGCAGATTTGCTCCAAAGAGTTGACCTTTTCTTTTGTCTTCTTCCTTATCAGCGAGTGCCATACATTTCTGAGCCTGTTTTTTGCATCCCAAATGTGCATTGATTCATGATGAAATAAGGACTTTGTGACAGGTCTGGTGGAAGAATTTACTTCTTTAGACAGAGAAAACTGTCTATCCCATATGTGTAAATACTGCAGGATTTTGTCTCCTTTTGCAGAGGTCTGCTACACCACATTTTACTGCATTTATTCCCTGTGTTTGCCACCAGGAGAACAAAATCCAGTGCAGTCCACAGCAATTCCTTTGTGGCCAAACTGGAAAAAAAAAAAATGTGATGAGATCTTAAATTGTTTAAGAAATGTCATTTTACATTGGCCTAAAAATTAAAAAAAACCACTGCTTTGTCAGTCTTATTTGTTAGAATTGTTCCTCTTTGCAGTCAAAATATTCAAGCAAAGAGGATGTGCCTGTGAAAGGGCATCCTCATCCCCTCCCCTTACTATTGTATCCACTCAAGGCTCATGTAGGTTCTCAAATGTGAGTTACTCCACTGCTTCTTTTTAACCAGATAAAGCTAAGGTGGGCATCTGGAAGTAAACTGAATGACACCACATGTAATGTGAAACCTAGAGGATTTTCTACCTTTACTAGAGTAGATTGCAGAATGATATCTAGAGGCTAAGTAAGCTTTACTCGTCAAATTCAAACCCTACAAGAGAAGAAACAATATTCAAAACACTAATATACATTTAGAATCTGTAAAATAATAACGATAATAATATTTCTAGTTTATTCTCAAATCCTATACCCCATTAGATAGACTAGGAAAACCTACTACAGAAAGGTATGCTAAGATGATGAAATGGACATGGTGGTATTTGAGAAAAACTTACGTGAAAAAGCAATAGAATCTCTACAAGGAAGGAATACTCTAAATGCAAAATTCTACATCAGCAGTCGAGTGCCTTCTGTATTTTCATTCTACTTCATATAGACAATCACTTGAAGAAACAGCAACTGTGAGGTAAGATTACAGTTCTACTACCTGACTTTAAAAAAAAGGAAAAAAAAGAAAAAGAGGCATTGAGAAGAAAACATGGAGAAAACCTAGCCCTATATCTCAGCTTCTCAGTTCAAAACAAGCTGTCAAAAACCATGTATTGAAACCTCCTGTACTAACACTAAACAGTGTAAGCTTATGTTTTGGATATTTCTGCTTCTGAACTCTTGATTCAGCCTCTCTGTGCTGAAGGCTCCTCACAGTTTACAGATAGTGGTGCAACTGAAGTGCTCCATTTTAACTGTAAATCATCATTAAAATTTTTAAACCAAACAATTTTTGTTATTTCCATTGCTTTCTGCCTATTTTGGAAATTCAGAGTTCTCTAGACAGCCGCTGAGTTTTCTTAGAGTGTTGCTCCATCAGAGTTCACACAGATGCATTCAGTGAACCTGAGTCCATCTGACCACACCACCTGCTAGTTGAGCTGTGTGAACACATCATTGGCTTTGTTTGGATGACAGAATAAATGGCATAGCAGGTACAGTGAAAGAATCAAAATGAAGCATATATTATTTATGAAAGTAATCACAATCCTACTGATATATATCCTGAACCGAGGTGCCTGCAGCTAATAGATAGAAACAAAGAAGTAACTGTTAATATTTGTCTTGAAAACTTCTGGCTTGGGTGAATTTAAACTAGTTTTTTATGATGTTTCAGTACATTCAAATAAAATAAGAACTCCCCTTTGCCCTTTTACTTTCATTTCCCTGAGCCTTCGCGTACTTCATTTTCAAGTTGATATTGTGATCCAAAAGGACTGCACTATGTCAAGAGTCTTGAATAAATTATGTCACAGAAGCTTTGAAAGCTACAGAGAAACCGGCCTCAAAGTTAGGTATTGGTTTAAAAGAAAGGCCCAGTAACTGAAGAGGCATTGCTGCTGATGTGCTTTTTTCTAGTGATTTTCTATTAGTAGGGAATCTTGATTAATGATTCTCTATCAGCATGTCCTGATTAATGTGTTAGTCAATGGATTGTTACATCATTTTATTTCCTCTTAAAGAGCATCCTTCTAATGTGAGTGCGATAAGTATTGGCTTTAAATGAACTGCTGCAAACAATTTCTTTATCTGAATGGAGAAAATATTTTCACTTTCTAAAGGTTTGAATTCATAAACTGTTTCTACCAAGTAACTACCTCTATGAGCTTTTTGCATTTAAAAAAAAAAATAGTAACTTTGTGAAGCTACTTCGAATGAGAAGAGGCTCTGTGGTAATGTTACTATTGTGTTTAAATTCTATGCTCTTTAAATGCAACAGGCTCTTAAAAAAATACTGGGTTTAAAGTTTCAGCAAACTTGCTTGAAAATAATTTCAGTGAATTAATATTTAATTTTTAGCTTTTCTACTATGCTGCTGTAAAAAAGCAATGGCAGCCACTTTCTACAAAAGACTAAGGGCTTGCCAGTTTTTTTAGGGCAAGAAAAAAAAAAGCCACAAATAAACACTAGTAAACTGATTATTTTTTGTAATTAGAATATTAATCTATATTTTTTCTCATTAACAATTAATGACATAAGAATATATTAATTGCTTCCAATCTGTTTGTTTGATTTTTTTTTCCTATTCTTCTGCTATGAGGATAAAGTTTCCAATGGATAACCAAGATATTGTACTATCCAACCCACTATCAGTTTGATAGGGGAGGATCCTGTAAAGCTGGAAGTGTTTAAATGGTGTGTGATCTAGGAGAGCTGTATTGGTGATAAATTACCTGTGGTGCCCAAGCAGCACTGGCTTCTCCCCTTAAAGTTAAACCTTGTTGAACTGCATGAAATTAGTGGAACTAACTCAGTGAAATATATCATTTTGAAGGGAGAGGTGGCTTTATTTTAGAAAATCTGTAACTGAGTTGACTTTACTAGTTTGTTTTCTTATACTGGTGTGCTCACAGCACTGAAATGCATGTCCAGGTGATCTGGCCAGCATCACTTGTGTGCTGGAGGCCAGGAGATGTCAGCAGCTGCATCCTCACCACTTCTTTTGGGTTCCTCTTGGGGGCAACAGATGGATTTTAGGGATTCACCTCAGAATTTTGCTTACTTCAGCTTCTGCAAGTGCTAGGCAAATCTGCTGCCAGGTATTCTTTCATGTTCCTCAGGGTGGCTGGGCTGGCAGCAGGAGACACATGGCATCACTGCCTGTGATGTTGCCTCTCTTGCTTGTTTACGCTTCTGACCTACACAGCAGCCTGGTTTACAGAGTAATCAATTACACAGTTTTAATTCTGGATACCTAGCTTGAGAAAATATGCTAAATGCTTACTAGAAAAATTGAGGACCTAAAAAGTACCTAGGATTAATCACCCAATAATGTGTATGAAAGTGGAATTCTGTTTCTTTTAAAAAAACCCTAAATATATCCAGCCTCTATTTGGTGGACATTAACTGTTGAAGTCAGGTGGTTCTTTCAATATCCCTGAGAAACCTGAGTTTATCTCCCAGGTTTCTCACAGAAATGGTTCAATAGGAACTTTTTTGGGGAAAAAAAGTATGTTTCTTAAAGCAATTAGCAATTTTTTTCTTTTTTTTTCATATTTA